GGATGATGAATCTGTCTCTTCTTCTGCCTTTTGCCACAACTTTTTTCAGTGTGCATTCTTCTTTTCATCACTTTGTAAATGCCCTACTACTCTCATTTTCACTGTTTCTTTTACTCTTCTACAGTGATTGGGGGCAGTAGTTTTTAATTTGTTACATTTGATGAATTTGGAGTCCTACTACGTACTGTTCAGGTAATGCTGTTTGCAAGTTCCGATCTTTTTGAAAAGGGAACTTTTATTGTAGATCGATACTGGTCTTGTGATAAAAGTGATGTGTAATTTAGACCTTCTGTATCTTTATATTCATTTTTCCTTGCTTGACCTAGGAAGCTGAGGGTGTGTAGTTCAGTTATACTTCAGTATTACTTTTGGTGGCTTGTAGATTTGGCTTTTTACTTACATGATGTTGAAAGTACCTCAAATATGACTGAAAGAGGTTTTTCCCCTTAGGTCCTGTATACTTTGATGTTACTATTGTGACTGCTGCTTTTATGTATAGTTGCTGGAAAAGCGCAGAAAGTGTATAAGCATGTCGCTACGTTCACTACAAACCTGATGGCAGCACTTAGTTGTACTTTGGGGTCTACAGCTGAAAGCACACAATGTGCCCTGCCGTACAGTGGATCAGCACCTTCCTGCATCCTTTCCCTCTTGTGGAAGCTGCTTTCTGAACAAATATGGAGTAGCGCAGTATTTATGTTCAAATACAGGAGCTGGAGAACCTGTTTCGAAGTGTTCTCCCTGGGCAGGTCAAGGAGACTGTCCGCCTTTCTCGCTGGGTGCACTGGACTTCAGGCAGGCAGTGAGGGTGCCACCCCGTGTTCTTCTGCCATTCAAGTGAAGTTTGCATGGGTTTTTCTTTCTGTCTGCTCACTTCCTGGTTCCTTACTTTGTTAGGTGAGGTCTGAGTAGATTTTTTTCTTCTTAATTCGATTTCATGATCTTTTGTGTTCTAGGAGCAATTGTCTTTCTTTCTTTTCTGTCTCTCTTTCTGTCTCTCTCTCTCTCTCTCTCTCTCTCTCTCTCTCTCTCTCTCTCTCTCTCTCTCTTTTTCTTTCTTTCTCTCTCATTTTAGTGACTTTTTGAGCTGTACACTTTTCTGACTGTGATTCACTGGCAGTTTAGCAGGACGTAGAAAGACTATGTTAGAAGGAGCTGACCAGGAGCCGTCCTTAGCGACTGCCCAGTGTTTCCTTCTCACCGCTCTCGGCAGGGCTGTAGACAGCAAGAACAGTTCCACAGTCCTCCTGCAGGGAAAATGAAATCTAAAAATTGTGTGGTTTTATTTAAGTCTGTGAAACAGAAAGCTAGAACAGCTAGAAATGCATTGGGAAATAAAGTCATCTTTAGGGAATTTTCTCTTAACAAGCAAAGAAACTATAGATTGTTATCTTCTTAGTAGGAAACATAGATTTATTTGAAAAGAAGCTGTAATTGGGGACCAACGACTACATCCAGCATCTTTATCATAAACGACCACATTCTGAGAACCAACCTCGGGGGGCCATATTGGAGAACGTTGTCCTGTGCAGTGTATCTCACAATGGTGCTCTCTGAGTCAGGGTAGCTTATTTTATATATACTGTCCCTGAAAAGAGCACTTTTATTAATGTAAAGATAGTCACTGTGTATAATGCTTTGAGCAGAAGTGACGAAGAAATATTCCCTGGCTTCATTTCAACACCACCAGTGTGTTGGTAAAAACAGCTTCAGTTTCTTCTTTTGTGGGTGTAAGATGACAGATACAAAAATAACTGCAAAAGTTCTGGTTTCATTGCTGAAATTTTCTGAACAGAGTTGTATGCAAATACTAGTTATTGTAAAGTAAGAGCGGAAAATGTTTCTCTTGTCTAATCATAAGATTTCTGGTAGTAGGACTTTCTTAAATCTTTCTGACAAAGATAGTATTTTTCATTTAAAAATGTTTTCTGTGCTCGCACAGGGTAAGTACAGAGAGTGCAAAAGTTCATTCTGATTATTTATGTTTCTGTATAAAGATGTTTCTATTTCTGGTGGTTATACTTGGGTTATACTGATTCAGTCATATGCACACATGCTCCGTGTTTATCCTTTTGAAAGAAATAAACAAAATCTGCAGAGCACTTACACCTACAGAATGCTAAATGAGTGCTGCTGTGCTTTTAGGAATTACATGTTTATTTGGGCTGCAGTCTTAGGGCAGACATGGTATCTGGCATTCATGTTAAAGATGACACAAGAAACTAAAGAGAATGGGCCCATAAATTAAAAGACACTTGCCTGCAGTCTTTGTTTTTACATGTGTTCTGTCACCCCAAGTCTTCTCCTGCTGTAGATCCATCAGGCATCTCTGGCTGCATTTCTCTTCTCCTCTCCCCAGTCAGCCAGCCTCACCTCACAGACCTTGAGTCTGTACTTTGAGAAGCGTAGAGATCCCTGCCATAATCTCATACACACGCTTCAGAGTTAGGTAACTCAGCCTTCTACCAACTATTCTGTGGTCAAGTCCTTTCTTCTCTTTGAAAAGCAGCTTTCTCTTCTTCATGAAATGGGGGTATCCCAGGCCCATCTCACCTACTTTGCTTGGAAGGTAAAGTCCGAAGCTGGACCTGAGATAGGACAAAGAGACCAAAGCCGGAAGTCCTCTGACAGCGTTACAGGAGAAGATGACTACGCAGGCCCCCCGGAAACAGGCTCCCTCTGCCCCTCAGGTCCACCTGAGGAGGTCCTCTGGGAGTTGTACTTCTTAATAATAATCTTCCTACCCTGTGTTCATGTGCTTAGTGACTGGCTCAATACTGGGGAAGATGAGCCGAGCTTTAATAGTAACACCAGGGGCTCCCTGGGCACCATTTGACACTTGATAGCAGGATACTGAGAGACTTCCTGAAGGAATCCATGGTTCCCGGTCAGCATAATACTTCATCTGAGGGTGGTAGCAGTGAAATAATGCTGCAGGGCTTATAACCCAAAGCATCCTCTTCATGTGCACACAGGGTTAAAATAATCACATAGAGTTATCTATCTTACGGATACTTGCACCAGAACTTGTATTCATCTTCTGCATAATGTAGGAGTTTACCGAGTTCTCTCCTTGTATCTCAGGAGTCCAGCTGTACATGGCAACACTCCCAGCTCCGATGAGTAGTTCGCACCTCACTGCTAACGAGTTCAGCTCCCTTCTGCTACCCATTTTGGTGAGATGGGAGGGAGGGATAGCTGGAGAACAGCATGGGCTTCTCACCTTTCTGTAGGTTTATTTTACATGTGAGTGCACTGTCCTAGTGCACCCATGTGTAAGAATAGCAATGCTGGCTTCAGTCTGAGAACTTCCAGACTGCGATCATGACGACTACTTTCGGGCTCCCTGTTGCATAACTCTTACGCCTGCAGTGTATGGAACGCCTGGACTTCTTCCCGTACGGCCCTCTATTTTTCATATAGGAAACAACCCCCGAGAAGCAGCCTGCACAGGTCCCAGGGATCGGAGCAGAGAAAGTGCAAAGTTCCGGCACAGTCTAGGCTGTGTGCTTGGTTACACGACTGGGAGTTCGTCTCCACGAAAATGAAATCTGGCGCTTGCCCATGGCCAGTGGTTCCTGTGAAACATGCCCTTTCACTTTCTGCTGCTCTTCAAATAGAAGCAGAGGTGTTCATTTTATTTCAGGTGTGATATTTTTTGTAGCACTTAGCACTTTTAGCTGAGAAGGAGAGTTTGAGTTCTTTCAATCACTCTTTGTGGTCCTGGCTGTGTTCACTGAGGATTTATTCAGTGGTATCCCCTGTGCGAAGCGCTTCGGCGGATGGTCTTAGTTGGATTATGTCAGTAGCTCCTGGTAAGCCCAGGACGCGTTCCGGCGGTCTGATGTAACTCCTGGCACTGTCCTCGATCCTTCCTTCTCTCCTTATCGTCCTTCCTGCGCACCCTCACCAACCCAGTAAGAAACGAGAAAATGCAGGGTGCAGAGCCCTGAGAGCTGAGTGCAGGAGGCACGGTGGCGTCGCACTGGCCATGCTGCTACTGGGGACGCTCCATCGCAGGCTCTGCTCACAAGAGACCTTCCTAGATCTGCGTGAACGTAGTGATGGTCTAAGTATACTGCCCTTGCATGGTTCCAGACACCAGGTGCTCGGAAAACACGCTCTTTTTGTAGTTTAGTGGCACGCTAATTTGGTAGAACCTAAATCTCAGTGTGCTGAGTTTTCCCTGATTGGAATATTCGTGCGTTTGGCCGCAGCCTCCTCTTCCTGCCCCTCTGAAACAGGAAGATACTGAATTCCAAAAACGTCCTGGATTTCTGAGAGGCAATTCCGTACTCATGAGTTGTTTTCCTTGAATTTGGAGGGTTTATTTATCCCTTAAGAAAATGAGCATTCGCTGATTCTTCTTCCCTTAGGAAGGAAACGAAGTGGGGGGAGGGGAGTAGCAAGCGCGAATAGCGGCTCACACGGTAGTTACAGCAGGAGCTCTTGCAGGCCCGAGTCTTCCCTACGGGCGGATCTTTTAGAGGACAGAAATCTGGATCTGTACCTCTGCTGCAATTAGAAATAAAAAGCCATTTCACTGTGGAGCTGCGGCCCTCGTCCCTGAGCAGCAGTTTGTGAGCCACTCACAGATCCGTAGCGCCACCTCTCTTCCAAGCGCGGAATTGAATATGCTAGAGCCGCCGCCGGATGGACTTTCAGGCTCTGGCTTCTGGCTTCTGGCTTCAGGCTTCAGATTGGCCAGACTCGAAGGAATTGCTGCAAGGAGGAGGAGAAATATCTTCTCTTGTTTCTGGTCCCCGAGCAATTAAACTGGTAACCTCATATGACCTTAGGAAGGCTGAGCCCTAACCTCTGCGTTTAATCAGTTTGCACCCGGTGAAGCATTTTACACACTAGAAATTTTAATTTACAGTGTGTCACATTACAGAACTTTTCTAGGCTTTTTGCTAGATTCTAAAGTATCCTCCTAGCTGCTGAGACTTTAAAAAGTAGAGGCACACGCTCAGTTCAGATTTTTTCTTTTCAATTTGCAGTTGCAAATCAAACATGCAGTTACAGAAGCAGAGATTCAAAAACTGAAGACCAAGGTAAGCGCGGTGTTTGAATTGTGTTCCTTCATTTTGTGTACTACGGATAAATTGAACCGCAGAGCTGAAGGATTTTGTCACGAGCATTTAAAAGAACACAAATGCGAGAGACTGACTTTCCTGGGTGCACTGACCTGCCGGTGGGAGCAAGCCTGGAGCAGTCCTCCTCGGGGAAAATCGCAGTGCTTGAGACCTCAGCTGTGTACACATATTTGCACATATGGGACTAAGGTCCGCTGCGATTTCCTCAGAAGGCAATATTTTTCATGGCTCAAGCATCTGAAGAATGTTTTAATCATGAGCTCCTTCAAGTTGGCCCGGTGTAGTATATCTTCGTTTACTTCATTATAGCTAGATATAATCAGTTTACCTTATTCACCAGAAACAATGTACTTTACATACAGCACATTAATTTTTAGAAAAACAGTTGCTCATTTCTATGAATTAACTGTTATAAACTTAATATAATACTTGCAGAATTGATTTTAGGGGCCTGGAAAGTTTTAGATTAGATGACATTATTTAAATTTGTGGGGAAACAAAAAAACTTGATGAAAGGGAATATGTATTTTAGTCTCTGCGTATCAAATAATACAAGATTCAAAAGGTCATTTTTAATTGGTAAATTATAAGGAACTTGTATGAGACACAATTCTAATAATTGTGCTTAGTTTTGTCTAAACAGATGCTGCATATATATCACATATTCATGTATATTATGCATTCATATATTACAGATATATTTTTATGTGCTGAATACTACTGATTTTGAGCGTTGATCTTTTAACATTGATAGTTGAGAGCGCTGCTGCATCTGAATGGAGATGAATTAGCAAGGCTGTTTTGGTTACATACTGTTCTCAGCTAGTATGCTCTAGAGCTCGTTAGTTAAAACATGTACATCATTTCTGCCATCAGCCTAGCACTGTAAATAGTGATTTTTAAACTAGTAGTGGTTAGTAAGTAAACAACTTCATACAAATACGACTTAATAAAAAGTGAAGTAAAAACATCTAGTCCTGTTTTAAATTGTAATTGCTCTTGACATAGATAGGGAAATTAGATTTTTTTAAAGTATCAGTTATAGTTAGGAGAAATGAGTCCTCTGTGATTGTAAATGCTACAATAGAACCTATGTGTTAAACTTTATAAACATTTAGTTTAAAAAATACTATAACTTAGTATTTTATATTTTTGTTCCTTTGGCATGATATCCACAGATTACCTTACTTTAATAGGATTATTATTCAAAATGATAATAGACTTCATAATTTCAAAGTGTTTTTTGGGTAGTTCTTATTTATAATCTGTTTTACAAATGTACTTAGTTCAAAATTTACATGAACGTATGCTACATATATACCATATATTCATGTATATTATGCATTCATATATTACAAATATATTTTTATGTGCTGAATACTTCTGATTTTGAGTGTTGATCTTTTAACATTGATAGTTTAGAGCGCTGCTGCATCTCTTCGAACTTTAAGAACGCATGGGCAGTAGATAAGGCGCTAGTTTGAAGGCCTGGCAATTTTTCTGAATAAATGACATTTGAACTTTACCTAAGTGATCACTGTTAAATTTCTGTTAAAATGAGGGTGTTAGACTAGTACGCTACCTATTTAAAAGATTACCTAAAAGCAGAAATCACAGGTTACTTAATCAAGTAACCATTTACATTTTTACTTAGTCTATTTTCTGTACTTTTGTGGGAAATGAGGGTTTTTTTTTTTTGGTTTTTCTCCGGTACCGGGAACCGAACTCACGACCTTGCGCTTGGGAAATGAGGTTTATAAAGGTAGAAGTTTATAATGCTGCTGTAATACAAGCTGTAGACTATGTTTGTGTCTATGGAAACAGAGAGCCTAAGAAAACCATCAAAATGGTTAAAAGCAAGTAAGAGCTGGTAGTTGCTTGGTGATTGTTAGCCCGCTGGCAGGTTGTCTCACAGTTCTGTTGTATGGCTATATCGACTCTGGAGAAATGTAATCATTGCTGAGGGCTTATGGGCCCATAATGGCAGAGGCAGGATTCAGATGGAAGCAGAATGACTCCAGAGTTGAGCTCTTAACCACCAGGCCTTACTCTGATTCTAGCCCCTTCTACCCTCCTCCCCCAACTCCCTTTTCAGTTAACTTTTTATGTATCATTTTACATTTGTAAGACCGTGCTCAAAGGGCAGGGATTTAGCTCGGCAGCATAGCTCCTTGCTTGGCAAACTCAAGATCCCGAGTTCGACTCCCGGTACCAACAAAATAAATAAATAAAATAAAATAAAATAAAATAGCTATCAAAATTACTGATATTCATTGGGTTTAGTAAGACTATCAAACCTCTTTTCCTGTTTGCAGAATTTCATACTTCATGGTATGAAGCAAAGGTCATGGGAGCTGGAATCAAATTTATGTGTTATCATTTATCAGATATATAATCTTGGGCAAATCAGTTCAATTTTCAGGGCTTGCATCTTATCATCTGTGGAATTATGCAAATAATACTTGCTTCTCTTATTGCGAGGTGTTGCGATGCTTGGGTGTGTAGAACAATGGGATTTAATCTGAAACATGCTGTTAGAATATGAGAAATTTTTGCGACTGAGGTGTCCAAATTATTCTTGCCTTGATGCTTGATTTCTCTAGCTCCAGGCAGCAGAAAATGAGAAAGTGAGGTGGGAACTAGAAAAAACCCAACTCCAGCAGAACATAGAGGAGAACAAAGAAAGAATGTTAAAATTGGAGAGCTACTGGATCGAGGCTCAAACTTTATGCCACACGGTCAATGAACATCTCAAAGAGACACAAAGCCAGTATCAGGCCTTGGAAAAGAAGTACAACAAGGCCAAGAAATTGATCAAGGATTTTCAACAAAAGTAAGCAGCTTCTGAAGAAGTTTCTTGTGTTTAAGATAGCTTGGTCCAATAATTTTGTAGTAAGTATCACAGGGGTGCATGCATGCCCATGTTCATATCAGCGCAGTTTGTAATAGTGAGATCTTAGGAACGGCATGACACCCACCAGCAGATGAGTGGATAAAGAAAATGTGGTATGTATACACGGTGGAGAATCACTGTGCTGGAGACAAGGATAAACCTGTGACATTCATAGATAAATGGATGCAGCTTCAGAAAATAATGTCTGCCATACACCTTAAAAATCGCATGGTTTCTCTTACATGACATTCAGTATGTGTGGAAGGAGAGGTGGTAAGAACAAAGTAGAAGGTACATAGGAAGTAGGGAGATCTTTTTCAAATGGATGAGGCGACAGGAGCTGGAGTGAGGGGACGGAAGAAGGGGAGAGAAAGGGAGTAGGAGAGCATCATGGAAATGGAGCTTTTGCAAATAGGGAACCAAGAGTTGGGAGGGAGGGAAGGGGGTTTAAAAAAATAAGATGCATTATGTACATGTTCCAACTTCCCCGGATAAATAACAAAAGCTTCGTAATAGCTAGTGGAAAGAGGATGATCTCAAGGTTTTTCCTTTCAGAAGCATGGTTATACCCTAAATAGTTACCGGGTTTTAGAATTCACTTTTGCCTTTCTTTTCTTTTTTGCTTTTTCCCAAGCACTGGAGATTGAGCCCACTGAGCTACAGCCTTAGTCCTTTCTTACGTTTCGTTTTGATTCTGGATCTTGCTAAGTTGCCTGGGCTGTGTTCAGATTTCTCATCCTCCTGCCTTAGCCTCCCAGAGTGCTGGGATTGTAGGTGTGCGCTGATGATTTGGGTAGTTAATTGTTGGTAGTACTTGTCAAAACATTTGACTTTCTTAATTCTTTTGGAAACATGTCTGTGATTAGAAGCAAAAAGCCCAGCTGAGCCAAGAGAATGACTAAGTGTTAGATACGGCCAGTGAGCAGTATCTGGTGCCAGGGCTGCTTCTGTCTGCTATCTTGGAACCAGTAACTGCAGACTTCCTCAGCTACAGCCTCGGTACTGAGGAGCAAGCGCTTCCTCCCTCCCTGTCCCTCTGCCTCTCCCAGCTGCTGAGAGACCCACAGAAGCCCAGGTCAACCCTGCACTGCACTTTAGAACTTCAACCACTGTCTCTGTGCTGTAGCTGCTGTACTTGGCTTCCATCTCTTGGATCGTAGCGTAATGTTGGGGGAATAATGGGGGAGAGTTTTGCTAGATTTTTTTCATCAGTTATTTCTGGCTAGCTAGAACAAAACTGGAGTCCTGCTACCTTTCATAGTGTTCCATGCTAAGCCTTAAAAGCTAAGTGTATGTGAGATACACTTATCTCCATTTCCTATCGTGGAAATAATATTTTTAAATATTTAATATTTTAATATAAAATTGTTAAGGGAATAATTGCTGTTTATTACTATGAATTCAGTACAACACTACTACACTATTTTAACATTTTGCAAAAAGAATCATGCCCCTCTTCCATGTAATAAGTTTATAATAAATTTTGCCAGATTTGCATGTAATTATCCTTTTCAACACTTACCATCGAGTTCCATCAGTTTATGTACATTCATGACACTGGAAATACGGAACTGTTTCTACCTGACGTGTAATTATCTCGTCTGAATTACCCAAGACAGGTGATTAGTTCAGTATCGCCTATCTAAATGGGTACGGGAGCTCCGGAGTCAAGTGAAAACCATAATAAGCAGAACAGAAACATTTCTATTTATTTTGCGATCCATTAAGATGTTTTATTTGCTTTCAATTCTGTAAACTGGTTGAGGTTCACTTCAGTACCTGTCTAGTAGTTTATCCCACTGTGCAGCTTATTGCTCAGATTCGAGCTTTTGTTTCCTCACTGAGTGTCTTCACTACAATCAAATCTGTTTTTTCCTTAAGAGAGCTTGATTTCATCAAAAGACAGGAAGTGGAACGAAAGAAAATAGAAGATTTGGAAAAAGCTCATCTTGTGGAGGTTCAGGGCCTGCAAGTGCGGGTGAGTTACCTTCTCAAAGCCAGTAAATAATGACAGAGTTTTGCCTGCCGCAGGTAGAGGAGCGCTGGTTGAGTTTTATGACTGGGCTTTTTCTTTCTTCCTTTCTAGATTAGAGATCTGGAAGCTGATGTGTTCAGGCTCCTGAAGCAAAATGGGACTCAAGTGAACAACAACAACAACATCTTTGAGAGAAGGACGTCTCTTGGTGAAGTCTCTAAAGCAGACACCATGGAGAACTTGGACATCAAGCAGACACCTTGTCAGGATGGCCTCAGTCAAGGTGTGTTGAACCTCACCAGGAAAGTCAGTGTTAGTGACTGCGTCATTTAGACTTCCAGTCTTCTGTTCTAGTCTAGAAATTCACAAGGTGAAATGTCTTCCTATTGTAGGAAATAAGTCATGGAAATAGGAGTCTACCGTTCTAGCTCTCTCTGATCAAGTATAAATCCTTTAATGTAAATAGCTTACACAGTATCAACTAAAGACAACAAAGTGTTATTTTTAAGCCACCATAAAATTCATGTACAGGTACTGCTTTAAAAGTAATAGACTATCCCATCTAGGATGACCTCCACAACTTACATATTTTTTTCATCACATTTTATTGGTACATTTTAGATATACATAATGATCACGTTCATCATGAAGAATTTGTACCTGTACATGATACAAGTTTTTATATACATATAAAAATCTTTTTTTTTTTGAGATAAGGTCTCACTCTGCAGTCCAGGCTGGCCTTGAGCTCATGGCAGTCCTGCCTCAGCCTCCCAAGTGCTGAGATTACATGAGTGTGTCACCATGCTCAGCCATAACTTCCATATTAGTAAATGGATCTTACAATTTTAAGTCCTTAGAACAAAAATCTTTTTCATAACATTCAGAAAACTGCCTGCCTGCTTCTACCACTTGGATTTATTGATTTACGTAGTTCTGGGGACTAGGGATATAGCTCAGTGGTGGAGAGTGCTTGCCTGGCACGTCCAAGGCCATGCCAGTACTGCGTGCATGCGTGTGCACGCGCACACACACACACACACATTTATGTGATTGTGTTTACTATGGTGTTCTATGTGTGCATGTCTTTTCTTGTTATTTGAACCAAATAAGATCGAAATCCTGGACTAGATCCACCATCTGTAAAGAAATTACTTACTTTCTCATGCTCCATATAAAGGCCGTGTGTATACAAATATCAATAGTTGAATATCTATAGTGCTTCCTGTAAATTAGAAAATGTATAAGAGTTTATAAAGATAAATATACAAGAGAGGGGCTGGGGATTTAGCTCAGCGGCAAAAGTGTCTGCCTGGCAAGCGCAAGGTCGTGAGTTCGGTTCCCGGTACCGGAGAAAAACCAAAACAAACAAACAAGAGAATGGAAAACATTTGGCTTCATCCTTTTAAATACACATACATGCACATGTACATACATATAGCAGTCTTTGGAAAGTGAAAATAAGACAATCCTCTGTGGCGGAATTGTCATGATCGGGATGACAGTTAACAGGAAGTGATTTCACACATAGTAAAACCCTGCTGATAATGAACTGTTTTGTTTTTTTGAGGATCTTTCTCATATTAAAATATTTCCTGTGAGATTTTTCTTGATAAACAAGTATTTATATCGTATCATTAACTATTAGAGCTAACCTCTTAGCCATTAAAAATGAGAAGTATTGGAAATGTTCATTTAAAACTAAAGTGATATCTAGAGATTTGAACCACTTACTAGATTTATGTCTTTCTGATTGGTTTTCCCTAAACAGGATATAAATAATACCTCTCAGGTGGCTAACCCAGGATGACTTAGTATCAGCATTGCCGCTAAATAAGGAGCTGTGTGACTTTAGGAAGATCATTTGGCCTCTGCATTGATTTTATGATACATGATATAAAAATACTGATAATTTCTTCTCCACCCTAACAAGGGTATTTTGAGGCTATACAACTTGGTCTATGAATCCAAAAAAAGTAATTTTATTATTAGAATTTATAGAATTACAATTTCTATAACTGGAACACAATATAATTGATATCTAGAGAAAAACACCAGAAATCAAAGCAATGTTGGGTTTGTTTTCCTCACCTTTTTGAATATTTTAACTTTAAAGTTAATTGTAGCTTATTATACATACATGTTCTTGCTCTGGGATGCACAAAATATTATCAGTAACCATGAGCTTTTTATTATTTTTCATTTCTTTCTGTTTAGAAACTTGTATTTTGTTCAACATATAATTAATGGTATTTATTAAATTATATGACTATAGAAGATCAACAAACTATACTATTAACATGCTGATTTGGATCAAAACCTTACATTTTCTGCCCTACACTCTCCATCTTGCCACATAATTACCAGTTTCCCTAGCAACACTGCCGGTGCCCAGTGAGATGTGGAGATTGCTAATTCTTCCTGAAACCCGTCCATGCCTGTGCAGTAGGGGTAGAGCCAGTTGTCTCATACGTTAGCTGCACCCGTGTCACGTGGTGCCTTCCCGTTTGCCCCCGAGAACAGTGCGTGGTAAATCTCCTTGAATTGCAGTTGCTTGATTACATGAACCAAAATATCTTGGTCAGTCGCTAGATAGAATGCTCTGGAAAGCACTTTTCTGAATTGATCCTTCGCTTCTGTTGCTAGGGAACACTGAAGTACTAGGGGTTTAGAAAGGAGAGTGGGGCCGCTGGCCAGACACCGGCCCTGCGGCGTGGAAGGACTCCCGCTAAACTGCCCCATGTGTTTGCAGCAGCCCAGGTCCAGGACTTGCTTTCAGCCTCTCTGGGCTCTGCCGTCGCGGAAGGCATCGCCATCCTCTCACTTCTTCTGATTTGCTTTTCCAGGGCCAGCTAAGATGCGCAGCTCACTGTGTTCGGGGCACTTGAGGCAAAAGGCTTCTCTGTTACAGATCAGTGAAACCCTCCATTAGAATGGAATAGTGAGGGCCAAAAAGAGGAGTAGGAAGTCAGTAGAGGAGGCAGAAAAGAAAGAAGAGGGAAGGAAGAGACTCTAAGCATCCACTTCTTCATGGGGCTTCCTACCTGGGAATCATTATTTAACTGTCAGTTTGGAATATGGTACATTTTTGAGGTGTAAAACCATTTTCAAAACCATGCGGAAATTTACCACAGTGAAAATTATATTTGAACTCCAACACAAGTATTTCATTCAAATTTTGACAAAGATTATACATTGAAATTCACTATTTAATATATTTGAGTACTCTTTTTTTTCTTATAATTCTGTGAAGTAAATGCAAAATTTTTTAACCAATACGCATGTCGCATACTGTTTTCCACATATGCCGGATAGGAGATACAGTGCCTTTGTTCTCCTGACACATTTCCTGTTTGTGACTGCTTAGTGCTTAAATAACAGTGTTCTATATGAGTTCTCTACCTTGTACCCAGGTCACTGAAAGGATGGGAACATGTGTTGCAGCCAACGTGTTAAGTCAGATTAGAATCAGAGCAGAGCAGAGGTAGGTTAGAGAGCTCCTGGGAAGTTAGAGCGTTATAAACTTCGTTGGAGTGGATTTCCTGGAAGAGGCCCTGCACTATAACGCTTTCTTCCTATGCTTCTAGATACTTCAGGATCCATATAACGATACTTTTCATATTCAAGTATTGTAAAGGCTGTTTTGTTAGGTAAGGATTATCCCATCGCCTATAGAGATACACAAAGGAAGATTAGGGCCAATAGGTGGAAGTCACATAGGAAGGCAGATTATTACTATCCTCTCACAAGAGGTCAGGAATAAGGATGGTACTATTTATAAAGTTATTTTGAAAACTAAATACTTGCTTCTAGGCACATAGTAGGTGACACGCTGACTTGCAAGGGAATAGGTAACTAGAATTTCAAGCACTGTATAAGCATCTTAAAGATGAGAGAGTGATTAAAAAGAGCTACAGTGAGTGAAATTAGAATGGTTTTATCCTGAATTCACAGACCTTATGTTAAAAATGGGGACCTTTAAAGTGCTGTGGGGTAGTCCTGGAATAAAGCAGCCTCTGCACGTCTGAAGAAAAACTGACACCTAGTTTTGTAACCGGTGTGAAGAATGGTTTTGAGGTATAACAGCATCAGAGTGGCTTTTGGATTTGTAAACTAATTCAGAGACTCCTGTGAGGTTTGCTCTTACTGCCAAATGCTGCATACTTCTTGCGCTCACCTCTTCCGTCTGTAGACCACTGGTTAGGGAGTGTTTCACGTCATTGTCCCCCAAGTGAGACCATGGAGAGTTACAGAGAGTAGCTTGTACTACTTTGTCACATTTCAGCTATCCTACGTATTGATTGTGGGACTACAAATAAGTTACTGTATTTGTCTTGTTTTAGAAAACTAGAATCATTATAAAACAGTCAAATTTAGTGTTGATATAACGATTAGATCAAAACATATTAAGTACTTTGTGCAATACCTATCACATAGAAAAAGCTTAATGCTTACTGTCACGATAGCATCCTGGTAGGACTATAGTATATTCCTATATATAGTACACTATATAGAATGTAGTATATACAGTATATACTATGTAGTATATATAGAATATAGTATATACTATATAGTATATATAGAATATAGAATATAGTATATTATATAGAATAGTATATAGAATATAATAGTATATAGATTATAGTATGTTATAATATACTATATAGAATATAGTATATTAGCACTTACTAATGTAGTGAGTGCTACGCTGAACTGTAGAGATTGGAAGACATCTTTTACTGTTTTACTCAACTACAAAACTTCTGTTAATCTTCTGTAAGATCCATAAAATACGGAAATATGACAATGACCTAATAAGACCAGGTTCTGACAGTATATTCTCTGAACAAGTGGCCTACTTTAATGATGCCAGTGTCGGAGGGAAAAGATTCTAAGCCAACACCAAGATAAACACATTCGCTTTCTAAAAACAAAATGGAAAATCCCTGGTTTCCACAAGAACCCAGAGTGGACAGTTGGAGCTGGCGGAAGTAGCATGCCAGGAGCCAGGCAGGATTATAATGCCAGGGCTCCCTGAGCCCAGTGTCCAGGCAGCGGTGCTATGAAACTCTCTCTTAAATGAGCCAGCTGCAGCTCCTTTTGAAATACTTTATCGTAGCACTTTGTTTTGTGGGGTAGAATCTCAAGTGACCACTTCCAGTTTCTCTAGTGCCTCCTTGTAACCTTGTAAGTACAGGGGAACCTTAGTGGCTAACATATGTACATGGGATTTATTGGTTTTTTGGTAGTGATGGTGATGTTCGTTGTTTTATTTGGTCTGTG